ATGCCATGAGCACTCACTTATAAATTTATTTATCAAAATTAATTATTGCTAGCAGTGGCGTAGCTAGGAATTTTCCTTAGAGGGGGTCCATACATATAAAAGCTGGGGGGGGGCAAAGTCCCCCAGACCCCCCCCCCTCCAGGGTTTATCTTACAAATCATAACCATATCTTCGCTAATATATAATAAATATATTTTTTAAATGCATCAATAATATGTTATTATAATTTATTAGATTATTCTCAATGACTTTATAATAATACTATCCAGAATAATTTCAATAGTAATATAATATCCTTCCACAAACATCAAAACCAGAAAAATATAATTCATATAAAATCACTTTTAGGTCTTTTGAACGTATAATCTAAAAAAAAAATTTGCTCTGGGAGATGTCCAAACCCGAAAACCACCCCCGTAGCTACGCCACTGATTGCTAGGTTATACTAAAAAAATTAAATGAAAATTGAGAAGAAAAAAATTGAGAAAAGATCCGAAAAATAAAGATTAAAATAGAAAATAAATGACCAATCCCTCCCCCATCTCTCTCTCCCATTGTTATTTAAAATTTGTAACAATAGCAAGATTTTTTGGTTCTTTAAATTATTTCAATTTAAAATGTATTATATTTTTATTCTTAAATTTCAAGATTATAGAGCCTTGATGGCACCAGTAGGTTTTTTTTTAAAAAAAATCTTATTTTAATAAATGGTTCAGTCTCAACGTTACACCCTTACTAAAAATTTCATAATTTAGTAAGCATAAAAAAATATTCGATTTAAATTATGATCAAAATAATTATGATAATATAAAAAAAATTTTTATTATTTACTCATATTATTTGTTATTATCATGCAAAATGAATCCAAATTTTTTGTGTTCAAAAGCGTTCCTATTTTTTTTAAAAATACCATTTAAAAAAATTTAAAATAACAATATTTATTTTTTTTATATGTATTACATGATTTTTAAATAAAAGAATTAAGATAATATATAATTTTTACGTTGATAAATCTCATTTTGAACCTTTGCGCAAATAAACAAGAATATCTTTTAATTCAATCTCCACTAAAAGTTCTCATACAACTAATATTAAAAACGATCCTAATTTTTCTTCGTCTATATTATTTCTCAGCCTATTTTTTATAATTTACTAAATGTTCTCTCGCAATTAACTTGAGTAAATGATAAAAAATCTTATTCTACTTTTTCATTAGACTCCTCACCTGCTCATACGATATCATCGTCCGTTTCATTTAATTCTGCTATTAAATCGTTGAATTCACAGGCGAATGAAGACAATTCGTTACGTTATTTAACATTGAATATATTTGTTGTGTCACTTTTTCCAAGGCCTTTTCAGAAATACCCTATTATTTTTATCAAAATGCCTAGGATAATATTGCACATTCAAATTAAACTCTTTTTGCAAAAAACCGTTCTGATGTTTATAATTTGATCAATTATAGGACGAAATACTTCGACTCTATAATTTCAAATCAAATCCAACAAGTTTTTTTTTATCTCATTAATTTTTCCGACGATAACATTCACAACAGTTATCGATAATCTAGTATTTAAAAAAAAAGTTATGAAGAATATATTTTTTAATGTTTACCTAATAAATTTTAAATAACAAATAAAAGTTGTTTATTAGCCTGCCCATTTTTAAAATTTTTCAAAGGTCCGTTAGCACTTTTTAAATTATTTAGCTAGCCATCCCAATATGATAGAAGGGCGTGGGCTAAAAACCAGATCATTTGGGCAAAAAAAATCAAAAATGTTTTAAATGACAATTAACTGAAATTTTAATTTAACATGTTTACAATATATATATTTACAAGTTGGCTTTAAAAATTTTCAAAAAGGTTCACAAATAATGATTATGACAATTGACACTTTTTTATGGTCATCTTCACTGAAATTTTATTATAACATGTTTATAATATATATTTTTACTTATTTTCTTTGAAAAAATTCAAAAAAGTTCCAAATAACGATTATAACAATTCCCACTTTTCTATTATGGTACATCTTCACTGAAATTTTAATTTAACATAAAAAAGTTCAAAAATAACGATTATGACAATTGTCACTTTCTATGGTACATCTTCACTGAAATTTTAATTTAACATATTTACAATATATATTTTTACCTATTACTTTAAAAAAATTCAAAAAAGTTGAAAAAGAACGCTTATGACAATTGTCACTTTTCTATGGCACATCTTCACTGAAATTTTAATTTAACATGTTTACAATATATATATTTTTACCTATTTGCTTCAAAAAAGTTCAAAAATAATGATTATGACAAAAATTTTAATTTAACATGTTTACAATATATATTTTTACCCATTTGCTTCAAAAAAAGTTAAAAATAACGTTTATGACAATTGCCACTAAAGATCTGCAAAATTAGGCCCGGCTCGAACGGGCTTCGGGCCGGGCTCGGGCCTAATTCTATTTAAAATAAACGGTATCGGGCCGGGTCTAATATTTAAAAAAAATTCAGGTCGGGTCGGACCTTGTATATTTTTTTAAATATAACTAAATTTTAAATTTAAATTTTTTATGTAAAATAAAAATATTTGATTTTATTTATTGAAACTAAACTACATATAACATATGTCTTTTATTTTGAGTAATTATAAAGATTAATTTCTATATTTTTATAAATTCGGGTCAGGCTGGGTCGGTAAATTTTTTAAAAAAAATTTCGGGTTCGGGCCGGGCCGGCAAAACTTTTCTAAAAAAAATTTCGGGCCGGGCTTGAAAAATTAGACCCGATGCAGATCACTTATTATCACTCTTCTATGGTACGTCTTCACTGAATTTATTTTAACATCTTAAAAATATATATTTTTACCTATTTACTTTAAAAAAATTTAAAAAAGTTAAAAAATAACGATTGTGACAATTGTCACATATCTATTGCGTCAAAAAATTTCAAAAAACTTTAGAAATAACGATTATGACAATTGTCACTTATCTATGATACACTTTCATCGAATTTTTAATTAAACGTATTTTCAATCTATATTTTTACCTATGTGCGTCAAAAAAATCACAAAAAACTGTAGAAATAACGATTTTGACAATTGTCACTTATCTATCACTGAAATTTTAATTTAACATATTTACAATCTATATTTTTATCAATTCAAAAAACTTTAGTAATAACGATTATGACAATTGTCACTTATCTAAGGTACATCTTAACTGAAATTTTAATTTAACATATTTACACTATATATTTTTACCTATTTCCGTCAAAAAAATTCAAAAAACTTTAAAAATAACGATTATGACAATTGTCACATATCTATGGTACAATTTCACTGAATTTTTACTTAAACGTATTTACAATCTATATTTTTACCTATATGCGTCAATAAATTTCAAAAAACTTTAGAAATAACGATTATGACAATTGTCACTTATCTAGGGTACATCTTCACTGAAATTTTAATTTAACATATTTACAATTTATGTTTTTACCCATTAGCGTCTAAAATAAACTAATATCTTTAAAAATACAGATTATGATAATTGTCATTTTTAGAAAGGAACATCACCATTGAATTTATAATTTAACATCTTTATAATATAAATTATATTTTTATACTTTTCTGTCAAAGATTTCATAAATGTTAAAAAATAACATGACAATTATCACAAAGACGATCATGTAAAATAACTTATAAAAGTTTAATATAAATATTTAAAAATAAATTATTTAAACTAGTTCTTATATACTAAAAAAATAGATAATTTTACAAAAATGATAAAAATAAACCTATAAATAAAAGATTTCAACTAAAAAATTGTTTATTTAGATAAAATTTACAAAATTAATTTAAAAAAATTTTTATTAATAAAAAAAAAAAATCATTTAAAATTCAAATCCAATCAAATTTTGCTTAAAATTTGGGCGTGAAAATCACTAATTAATTATAACAAAAATGATATTACTTAACTTACATAGCAGCTTATCATTTTTTTATTAAAAGATATCAAATAAATATTCATTTTCATAATATATTATAAAATAAAAAATATTAAATTATATCATTTCTTTAAAATATAATAAATATTTAAATAAATATAAATAAAATAAATTATTTTACTAAAAGTAAATAAATAATAATTAATGCTTGTAATTTCTATTCACGACTTACTCAAGTTGGAAGTCTAAATTAAAAAAAAAAAATTGTATTGTAAATTAATAATAAAAACTAATTTGAAATCACCACTTGTGGGTCGATTTTTTCGACCCAAAACTTAGACTCAGTTTTCGACTAAGTCGACTCGACTCACTAATCCTATCAATAGGTGCTGAAGATGTTGCTGTGCATTAATATATAAACAGGGTTTTGATGTTTGAAAATTGTTAAGGTTTTCTTGTTTACAGATTATCTTTCCTCTGGAATAATTTTGATGGTTTATCATCCAAATCTCCAGACATCTTGAACACAAAAAGGCATTTTTATATTAGAAATGAATCTTGTCACTGATATTCATTATAGATGTCTTATTTTTATCAATATCTTTCCTTATATAAGAAACCAAATACTGTTTCATTTATTTATTTGGCCTTTAAAGTAATGATGAAGATACTGCACATAATATTATTATTACTAATATAATTGAATATTAAAGACATCCTATAGATAAATAATAACACTGAAAAAAGAATAAAATTAGAAAGTATACTTTGTTTTGAAAATTTTGTATATTTTTTTTTATTTGTGTTTTTTTTTAAATATAAATATTATACCTAAACATTAAACAATAATAAAACATTATGTAACGAGTAAAAATTAATGATTTTTTCAGAATAGTAACGCCGTTATTTAATATTTTTACAGCACAAATATATAATTTCGGCCCAACTCCGCCAATTAAAATCATGCGTGGCTGGGCCAAATCTTACAGATCTCAATTAAACATTAAATTTTATTGATGTATTTTATTCATGTAAACTTTATTATCATGTAGACTTAGCTAACCAAAACAATTGCCCTTCATATGTGTTTGGACTTTTGGATAAATTTGATTATAAAAATGAATCTGAGACTACTAAATTTATTGTTAACAGGATGAGAGATAAGATAGAGGGTAACGATGAAGAGCTCTTAAAATTTTGCTCTCTTCAACATTCCTCAATTCCTTTTACATGTGATAGTCAAGTATAATTTAAATTCTATATATAATTTTAAATGATCAAATATTATTTGTAAATTATATACTATATACAATATATTTTAAAAATATGGTGTACCAGGGCTTTGCCTATAGTCATTTTGCTTAGAATTGCAAAGACCAAAATGATGCTAAATGTGGAAATTTAGCAATGAGCTTATATGTTTTCAGTCATTCCATGATAAATCAATAAGATTCGGCCGACTCCCTTCGATTTTTTAAAAAATTTGGCTAGCAAAGAAAAGTTTATATAACTAAAAAGCGGTTCTTGGCCCGAATTCGGCTCAGAATGGGCATTTTGAGACCAGAGACTAAACCGAGACCAATTAGTGGGCAACCCATTTAATCCGGGGTGGGTTCGAACTTCTTTTAGAAATCAGTTTTCGATTAAGTTCCTTTTATCAAAATTTCCGCTAAAATTCCTGAACCCGAATTTGGGTCTAGAACCCTACAAAAAGTAGCCAAAACTTTAACCTCTAAAATATTTCGATTTTTGGAGATATAAACTGTCAAAGGGACAAAAATGACGTATTTTTAATATTATCGGCCTTCATTCAATTACTCTTATATTAAAAACTGTATAATTGAATAACAAATTTAATATCAAAATTACGTACAAAGATTATAGGGGAGACTGGTGCTAGTCGAACCGATTTTTGCAAAATCGGCTATAGCTCCTGTGTTTTTTTAAATATTATGAAAAACAATATATGAATAGATACTAATATACTCTATAAAGGGACTTTATAATAAAATTTAAGAATTTAATCATATTTTTGAAACTTTCCTTTTGTTAAAGTGGAAATTTTGTCCAACAACCCCAATAACGGGGTTAAGCAAACCACACCAAGGTGCTTCCTAAACCATTCGTTTTTTTAGGCTATAATGAATTGAAATGCATTTTTATTTTAATAATGATTCGTATAGAATAATTTTATTGTTTAAATATCAAAATACTTATAAATTGAAACTAATTATATATAAAATTTGAAACCTAATTTTGGTTAATTTAATAAACATTTTGGACATATAAAAAAATGTATCGAAGTTTGAACATATACCATGTTCTCATTCTTGGCATATTCTGCATTGTAGGGGAGACTGGGGCTAGTCGAATCGATTTTTACAAAATTGGCTATAGCTCCTAGTTTTTTTTAGATAATAAAAAAATAATATATGATTAGATACCTAAAACTATAGGTGCCTTATAAAAAAATTTAATAATACAATCATTTCTTTTAAATTTATGTTTTGTTAAAGTAAAAATTTTGGGGTAAATCACTTCAGGAGGCTTCAGCGCCGCTACATTTTTTCAAAAACACCTGGAGCGCCCTCCTATTTAAAATTGAGCAGCGGGAGCGGTAGCTAGCTCCTTTTAGGGCTGGAGTGGAGGAGCGCCGCTCCTTTAAATTTAATGTATAAATTAAATTATTTTTTAAATATTAATAATATTTGTTAATTAAAATTCAATAAAATGAAATTTTATTTAAATTTATCCATTATTAAATGTTTAGCCGAGTTTTATATTGGTTTTTCATCTAATCATTTAAAAAATATTAAACATCAAGTTTTTCCTTTTTATATTGAAATTTTTTTGAAAAATCTTGTAAGTCATATTAATATTCATTTTATAGATATATAATAAAAAATAGTATTAGATATGATGAAGAAATCGAATTTCTATTTCCATCATACAAAAAATATTTTAAACATCTAAAAGAGAGCCAAATGATCAAACAAATTTAAGGGCAAAAATTTTCAAAAGTGAGCAGCTTCAATCTAAAAAAGCATCTAAAAGTAAAAAATCTTTCTTTTAAATACAAAATGATTTGGATGATTTTTTTTGGATTCCATGAAATTGATCATCAGGAAGATAATATATTGGACAAATATTTTTTAAATAATGATACCAAAATTACTATTTTTGATAAATTTCCTGAATTAAAAAATTTCTTTATAAAATACAATACCCCGCTTCCCCCTAACGCTCCTGTGGAGCACCTATTTAGTATTGCAAAAGAGGTCTTAGGGGGGAGGCGTGGATGTTTATTAGATTCAAATTTAGAAAATTTATTACTTTTAAAAGCTAATAAAAGTTTGTAAATATTTTGATAGATCATTTAATATAAATAAAGCTTTTTGATAAAAAAATATGATTTTGTTTCGTATACCTTCTAAAAAAATGAAAATCAAAGGAGCGGTTATGGAGTGGCACTCCATTACTTGGAGCGGGAGCAGCTCCTAGTAGCGGGAGCGGGAACTAGCTCCTTTTGAGAAGGTAGGAGCGGGAGCTAGCTAATGATTGAAATGCATTTCTATTTATTAATATTGATACGTTTAGAATGATTTTATTGTTCAAAATATCATAATACAATTGAAGCTAATTATATATAAAAAATGAAACTTAATTTTGGTTAATTTAATTAACATTTTGAACATAAAAATAATAATGATCTTAAGGAGAGATTATGATTTCTTAGCATAAATCCTAAATACCAATCATAAACAACCATGAAATTGCCTTTTTAAGATTTTGAAATTTTTTTTATTATTAACTGTCATAACATATATGGTTTAGCAACCCCACTAGCTCTAAATTGACAAATCATGATTTAAATAATATCTAGATACAATAAATACTCATAAAACTTTCCCATGTTATAGAAGAATGTTTAAACTTTGCTATATAATTTAATTTACTTAATGATTATATATTTTAATAAAAATTAAAATTTTGTCAAGTAAAAATCTTTTGAAAATTTCATCAAAATTTTATTTCTATAAAATTTTTAATATTAATTATTTCAAAAGTTTGTCTATAGATGTAAACTGATAAAAACTATATTAGGAAAAAAATTTAACCTTCTGGTGTATTTAATTTTAAAAGAGATTAAGTGGTTTGCCAAGCCTTAACATAAAATTTATAAATACTTTAAAAAAAAATATATAAATAATATTTAAATTTATTTACAGTTAGTTTTTATTTACATAATCTCTATTAAATATTGCTAATATTTGATTTTATTGTTTAAAAGTACATAAAATTAATACAATAATATTATACTTCATCATTAATTTAATCTATCATATGTTAAAATATAAGAACATAAAATTTATAAATTACATTTAAAAATAATATAAATAATATTAATTTCTTATCATTACCATATAAATTTTTATTTACATGTTCTCTATTATTAAAAATATTGTTAAAATTTAATTTTATTGTTTAAAAATTGCTTAAAATTAATACAATAAAACTTTACTTCATCATAATTTTAATCAATCATATGTCAAAATATAAGAACATAAAATTTACAAATTATTTTTACAAACAATATATTAATAATATTTTAATTTCTTTACGATTACCATTTAGTTTTTATTACAATCTCTATTATTAAACATTGCTAAAATATGATTCTATTGTTTAAAAATTGCATAAAATGTAAAACTTTACTTCATCATAATTTTAATCAATTATATGTCAAAATATAGGAACATTAAATTTACAAATTACATTTAAAAATAATATATAAATAATTTAATTTCTTTATTTTTATTTACATAATCTCTATTTATTAAATATTGCTAAAATTATTGAATACACAAAAATTGTGATTATATCTTAAAAATAAGACAGGTAATGTAGATAAATGTACTGTTGGTTGGCTAATGATTCTTGTTAATTTACAATCTTTATATACATTAATAGCTTATTATATTATAATATCAATTCATAAAATTTAGTGAAATTCTAGATAATCTTTATTGGATTTGTATTTTCGCACCATATCAAATAATGTAATAATTACTAAAAAAAATCATTTAAATGTATTGATATGGTTTAGCAAGCCCCGCTAGCTCGAAATTTACATAATGATTGTAATAATAATAATATCTAGACATAATAAATACTGATAAAACTTCCTCAAATTATAAAAGAGTATGAAAACTTTGCTATAAAATTTAATTTATATGTAAATGATTACATATTTTAATAAAAATTAAAATTCAATTGTGTAAAATTTTTTGAATATTTCATGAAAATTTTATTTCTTAAATTAAATATTCAAGAATTAATTATTTCAAAAGATTTTTTGTCTATAGATGTAAACATCTAAATAAAATTTTAACCTTCTGGTTTATTTAATTTAAAAATGAGATTAAGTGCTTAGCCAAGCCTCGGACCCCAGTCTCCCTACTTTAAGATAGAAAAATCTAATTTTTCAAATTTCCGGCCAATTTAATATATAAGAATTAAAAAAGATTTATGGAAATAATACTACCTTCAATTTTTTTATAATATTTAGCAAACATTATTAAGCACCTCTATTATATTTATAAAAAAAATTGGTCTGGGACATGGCCAGTTTCATTTAAAAAATCTATAAAAATGATTAAAATGTATAAATATTTTTCCCCAAAGGGACGTCTTCACAAAATTATATATTAATTAGTTTTAAATGGTTTTTCTTAACTTATTTGATATTATAAAAGTTATTCATTTTGTAATTGAAAATTCAATCAATTTTATATTTCCATCATTAAAATAAATTTGTCAATCTATAAAAGATATTCAATTTATTACATTTATAATCAAATTATTGGCCCATAACATATATTTAAAAATTGAATATTAATATAAAATATGTTGAATCTAGTTTAGAGTTCTCGAATATATGTCAGAATTTTATATTTTTCTTATATGGCACCTTACATATTAAAAATAATTGTTATATAAATTATAATTAAAAAATTAGATAAATAACTTCATTTTAAAGGATTCTAATTTAGTACCATAAACATTTCTAAAAAAATCAAACGCGTTCAACGTTCATTGACAAAAATCGAACGCGTTCACGATCACCTTCAAAAAAAGGAACTCGTTCACGTTTGTTCAAAATTTTATGATAAATTTTAATTTAATATAAATAAATTATTATATTTAACACATATAGGACATGTTAAAAAATAATCGTTTTATTTTGATAATATAATTATAAATATAATAAAATAAAATATAGCGAATAAAAACATATTTTTATTTATGAAAAAATTTTCTTATTTATTTTTCTTAACAATGTTTTAAATAATTTTATCTGATAGACAGGAACGCTTGGCAGTTAATACGGCATTAGCTATACTAAAAACGCGCTTTACAGGGGCAGATGAAGGGATTGCGGTATTATACTTAATAAACAACTTTTTAACGTGGGGAATTTATTAAAAACATTTATTTTTTTGTCCTTTGCTTAAATTGAGATTAGTTATCCTCCAATTCATCCTCTCTTCCTTGTCAAAAAAAAGGATATACGAAATTAACAGTTCTTGCATAATCATTTCTAGGGTTTTCAATGCATTTTTTCAATAATGCTATAAGTTTATATTTTATAGGTTCGTTCTGTGAATTGAAGCTTGAATACTGGATATATAATTGCAGAAATAACTTATTAATCTTCATATATATGTTCAAATCTTTAAAAAAATAAAATATATGTATAATTAATTTGATAGCGATAGGTTTAATACCTTTTATTAATCCCATTTAATAATGCGTCTATAAATAGTTGACCATAATTAAGGACTGTTGTGTTTCAACACTGTTTATAATTTATATTATCCATTGTACGATATAACTTGTTTATCATTTATATTTTCTCTTTGTTTGTACAATATTCGTATATTACCATTTATATTTTTCTTTGTTCACTTATACCGAGCCTGTTTTGATTTCATTCTCAAAACTGGTTATAGCCAGTTTTCGAGATGGACAAGGATGACATTGATATTTGTTTATTATCGTTTAATTGAAAAAATTGGGACTATATAAAGACCTCGGAAAAATGAATTGTGATCATTAAAATATTCTATTTTGTTTTGCTGTTTATAATATGATATGAAATTGATGTTTTACTATAAATTCGTGTTCCATTACTTTCTCGTCTTAGTTACTAGGATTCCATGACTAAAATGATATCCAAATCCGGTCCCCCTGTCCCCATATTCGACCATCTCGGACCCCCGAACTCGGACAATATCTTCTCTTCCCCTACGGTGGGACCCGTCTGTCCAACCATAACAGGACACTAATTTTCTAATTTTAAAATAACTATCGTTATTGTTGGGGTCAAATAACCTATATGCATTTTTTCATCAAATTTATGATTTCTTAGTTATATTATATAAAATAATTAATATTACAATCAAATGTCGTTTTAAATTGGAACTTAAAAATTATGAAACTGATATAATACTTATAGTTCCATCAATATAGGATGTTACTGTAAAATATTTATCATATTTGGGCCATGGTAATGTTAATTCATCTGATTTTGAATTTTCAGAATCAGATAATGATGATGAAATAATAATATCCATGCGTATGCTAATCTATTAAATTAAAATATAAACAATAATATTCAAATGAATCAACTTTAATAATGGTTTGTAAAAAAAATTGAAATGTAAACAGTTGATTATAAAATAGAAGACTTTTTTCTTAAAAATTTGTTTTAATATTAAATTTTTCAAATAAATAAAAATAAAAGGTGTTTTTAAAATTGAACGAAAGTTAAATTCGAACGTGTTCTGTTCGTCATAAAAAAGGAACGCGTTTACCTTTAAAGTTCGTCAAAGCCGTTCACCATTTTTTCAAAAACGGACTTCATTCGCGAACGCGTTCATAAAAAAATAAGTTATTTTTATGAATTTGCATTTAAAACTTTCATGAGCATATTTTGGCGAAATACTTCGTCTATCAATGGCTGACCAAATTTTAGGCCGCTAATTTTTTTTAATTTTAAAATAACTATCTTATTGTTGCCGTCAAGTAACCTAAATGCATTTTTTCTTCAAATTTAATGATTTTACTTAGTTATATATTATATTATATAAAATAATTAATATTAGAATCAAATGTCGTTTTAAATGGGAACTTGAAAATTTTGAAACTTATGTATTTCTGGGCACATTTTACATTTGGTAAGTATTGAATTAGTTCCTTCAATATATACTGTAAAAAATCATATATGGGCCATGGTGTTAATTCATCTGATTTTGAATTTTCAGAATCAGATGATGATGATGAAATAATAATATCCATGCTAATGCTAATTTATTAAATAAAAATATAAACAATAATATCTAAATTAATAAACTATAATAATGGCGTGTTAAAAAAATTGAAATGTGAAAAAGGAAAAACAATTGATTTTAAAATATAAGGCTTTTTTCTTAAAAAATTCTGTAACACTATTCTAATTATATTGTAGCAAATTTACTTTCTGGTGACGCGGCAAAGTTTAGCTTTGGCCAGTGGCAGTTAATGGTCTAATATTAAAATATAACATTTTGGCAATACTTTGAAATGTAAAGGAATTAGCAGATTCGGATAGATGTAAAAACTTTAAATATATTTCTTCCTGCTTTTGATCTTTTTTTCTAAAATACCAATAAAGGCTAACAAAAATTCGAATTATATTCATTTAACCGGGTAATTTAGCTTGTCTTGTCATGAAATATATTGTATTAAATTTAATATTTTTGGACATTATCCTATTTTACTGTTATATTATCATCTTTATCATTAATGGCTCTCTGAATCTCATTTATGAGATTCCATCGCTTTCATTATCTTGTTAATTTTTTTAACAAGAAATCCTTTTTCTGTCAACTTTTTTTATTGGAGATTCTCATTTCTATCGTTGATATATTTATTGATTCAATAACGATTCTCTTCGATATGTTGAATATCAGGGTCTACAAATGCATCATTGTAATTTTGGGCTTTTTCGTTTATTAAAATATTTATCACTTATATTATCACATGTTAGAGATGAGATTCAAAATTCTTTAGAAAAATTTAATTAAAAATACCAATATTCTTGAATAATGTCTAATAAATATTTTTTCTTTAAATTGAATCGTCTAAAAAGATGAAAAAGAATTAAAAATTATGTTGAGAAATATTTTTTTTAAAATTATACCAAAAATTAAATATAATTATGCCAACTTGTGTGTGAAGATGAAAATTATTTTGTTAATTTAGCGAGTTTTAGAAAATGATTTCTTTTAATGTGACACTCATGATTTGCAACATGATGGCCTTTCATATTGAATCACATCAGGCGCGGACTGGCCATAAGACTAAGTGATTTTGCCCACGATGACGCGAGAAAATGTCGATTTTTGAGGCCCATCGTAAAAAAAATATGGAAATTAGAGGCCGATCAGAAAAAAAAAATTGAAAATATATATTATTTCTTTTTATCATATAATTTATGACTTTTCTCTTATCATATTTCATTTAATATTTTTTGAGGATTATCATTTAAATATTGCTATTTTATGGGTTTTTTTCAAAAAAAAATGCGGGTCCTTTTAATTAAGAGTCAAGTTTTTTAAAATATTTTTTTATTCATTATTTTATAATTTACAACCAATGAGTTGGGCATGTTACTTAATTTAACGCCTACCATTATTAAATATAACGGCTAAGGTACCATTTCACTTCAAAGATAATCTAAAGGTTATGTTGTCTTTATTTAGAACATGTAACGGTTACAAAAAGTTCTTACTAAAATAAAAAGTAGTATTATAAAATTTATTAATATTTTATAAAAATCAAATATTATCAATTTAAAACATTCATTCTATAAAATACTAATTTTTCATATGAATTTTTGTCTCCTGTTTGGTCTTTCAAATTTGCAAATCAAAATATGGGCTACACGGGATTGATAAATATGTATTGCAATGAATATATTTCTAATATTTTATATTTATGCTGTATATTTATTTCAAATGATGGATCAAGATATAGGATTCTTTCAATTTATCTCTGTACTATAAACTTTGGACAAAAAAATCATTTTTATCAGTTCTATCTTTTAAATTAATATTTTATAATAAAAAGGCGATAATGTTTTTATCGGTATTTCACAATCTATAATACAAAATTCAATTTCACCACAATAGTATCATCGTTTGTTTAAGAAGATAATAAACAATATATAACTAAATTCCACAATGAAAAGATTTGAAATTGGAGAAATTCTATTCGCAGTTCTATTAAATTCCTTTGTTTTCTGTTAATCAATATAATCAGACATTCCATTTTAACTTTTAATATATATTTATAAAAATCATTACATTAAAAAATCGAAAAATTTTTTAAGTAATGAAAAACAACCCTTACTTTACATTACACGAACAAACATAATGGTTAGAGAACCTCTTTATATTTAATGTTATGTAACGCAACGCTACTTATAATTCTTGCCCAACTCTGCACATTTATTTCTTTAACATATTAGTAAATTGTTAAAGAAATTGTTGATGCAAATAGAACTCGAATATATGGTTATTTGCTCCAAAGTTGTGAGTTATTTCGAGACAATATTGAGTTAGCCGTTTTAAAAAATCGGCTCAAAATGAGCCGTTTAACAACACAACTCAGAACAGTGTGATGTGATGTATGTAGATTTTATATTACAATAAGTAATTATTTTATATGTGCAATTAGTATTGATTTATATGTTTAATATATACTTTATTATATGCATAATTGCGATAAGTATGATTTTATATGTGCAATTTCTTAAATAAAATATGGGATTTTCATTTCATATGAGTCTTTTTTAAATAAAAATGTGATAACTGTAATATTGTGTTTCACCCATCTTTTTAGAATTTTAGTTTAAAATATAAGAAATAATATAAACAAGCCATTAAAGGGATCCCGCCTAATGCCCGCAAATAGGGATATGGGAGAGAAGCCCCGTAAAAATGAGGCCGCTAGAAAACATTTGCCCACGAGGCTGTAGCATCGTCAGTCCGACCCTGAATTACACTATAAATTTATGTATCATTTATTACTATTATATAAATAATAGGTAGAGATAACCCACACATCATCTAATCATCCTTATCTCTGTTTTTTCTAATTAATAAGCTTTTTTAAAATTTTAATATAAAAAACGAAAATTATTTTAAAATGTTATAAAATAAGAATATAAAATTCTTTATAAAAACTGTGACTGATACTTATTAATCGAAATTGAATGATAATAATTTTATCCGGATATAAATGAGAAGTTAAATTATTTTCTAAACATAAAATCATGAGGTTTAAACCAGTTCACGAACATTTATATCAATTCGATTTAGGTTCGGGTAGAAAATGATTTAACTATTAAGGTTCAATAAAATACTGGTTTAAAGGTTCGAGTTCGGTTTAGATTCCTACCCATTTCATATCAAGTTTGTCTTTTACCTCTTTTGGGCGAAATATGCTAATCTGCCATTACTTCCTTAATTTTCCCATTTAATATCAAGTTGCTTATATTATCTTTTGACACTTTAAGAAAAATAGCTATAGGCAAAATATTGTTGGCAAAACGCTCTCCAACCGAATATATAATAAATTTTATTTATTAAATAACATTTTTAAATGATAATCTCTTTAATTCCATATAATGTAAACTATCAAAATTATTATAATATTTATTAATTTTCTTAATTCTGGATAGAAATTTTTTAAATATTTTATTACATACTATAGGTGAATGCTCTTATTCTTCAAGCCAAATCAATAGAGAATTTATCTTCCATGTATGAAGGATGGATGTCCTGGATTTAAATTTAAAATAAAATTTGCAATTTATATTAAATGTGAATCTGTCTGGCGTATTTTATATTAACTATCGAATATTAAATAAATGATGCAAAAAAATAAACTGTTATATTTAACCATTTCTTAATATAAAATAATAATTGTATGCTAAGTTCGAGCTCGGAAAATATAAATAAGATATTTCGAACCTCTGTTTTATTTTCGAATAAAATATTTATAGATTATTATAATAAAAATTGAAATGGATCATGAAGGTTGGGGGTAGTATAAGCATCCACCTCCGGTCAAACGTATTTTTGAGAGAGTGTTCGACTATGGTCGATATTACTGGGGTGTCAGGGAAAGGAGAATCGCTTTTCTAGTAATCTTAATCATACTAAAAACCAAAAAGGACTGCGGAACGAATAGATCTCATAATTATAAAAATATGAAATATGTGGCATGGATACTCCATATTCTAGTAATATCTTGTGATCTACCTATTATTCAAATTTAACGACTGTTTAATTCCTCATATTCTCTATATTTATATATGTATAGGTCAAGACCTCTATAATATATTAAAAACGGAGAAACGAAAAATATATAATTATTATAATGTTCTATATCCACATTTTACAAATGTTAAAAGGTGTTTTTAAATTATATGATCTATTTCGACAAATAAAAACGTAGAAAACTTTTTTTTATACGATAAGTGATTCTTAGAATATCTACACAACTTATCATTGCTTATCCTAAAATAGTATTCTCAATAGACTATACATTTAAAAAAATGAATATGGAACAAAAAAATTAACAACTTCAATATAATTAGGGAAAATGATCCATATTAAGAATAGCATTATAAAATATTGTTTTTATTTAAAGAAAATAATTATAGTTTTAATAACCTAAAATTTATTTTTACTCAAAAACATTAATTAGACTCCAAAAATGAATTTTATTTAGTAAAATATATTTTATTTGTGATATAAAATAATAAATATCAGAGAAAATATTGGAAAATTTAATTCATGATTAAATAGTTCAAATAAATTTCATATAATTGGCTTCTGATTTTGGAAAGTATTTGCATAATTTTGAGTAGGGTTGCTAAATAGTCAAGTTTTCTACACTTAACTTGAGCAGGAGTCGTTAAAAACGGCTCAGGCTCGAGAGGCTCAATGAGCCGACTCTTTGACCTATTTTATATATAAATTTATTTATATTTTTTAACTATTAATACTTTTTCTTATTTTTATATATGTCGTATTGGGATATGGAATCATGTGGGATTCAGAATCCCAAATGGGGATTCGAGATCTTGAATTCCCACGTTATATTCGGAATCTTTTTTTAAAAAAGATTCCGTTAATACATATTAAATTAAATAATAAATTGGGGGTCTTATTACATTTTAATAAATTTTGGTCGATGTTTAGCAAATTAAGTTTATTTCTTGTCATAAGATTATTTTTCCAATTTCAAAATATGCCTAAAAATATTAACCAAAAAAAATACAAATGCTTTTTTCAAAAACACCTGAAGTGCCCCTCCTTTTTAAAATTGGGTAGCGGGAGCTAGCTCCTTTTAGGGCTGAAGCGGAGGAGCGCCGCTCCACTGCTCCTTTAAATTTAAGGTATAAATTAAATTATTTTTTAAATAATAATGTTTGTTAATTAAAATTCAATAAAAATGAAATTTTATTTAATTTAAATTTATCCATTAATAAATTTTGAGCCGAGTTTTATATTGGTTTTTCATGTAATCATTTTAAATATTAAACATCGAGTTTTCCATTTTTTCTATTGAAAATTTTTTGGAAAATCTTGTAAGTCATATTAATATTCATTTTGTAGATATATAATAAAAAATAGTTTTAGATATTATGGATTTAGAGATCATAGGAAAAAAATATTTTAAACTTCTAAAAGATGTTGATTTAAGGGCAAAATGCCTTTTGTGGTTAAGAAAAGTATTTCATTTTCAAAAGCGAGCAGCTTTAATCTAAAAAAGCATTTAAAAGTAAAAAACCTTTCTTTTAAATCAAAATGTTAACTATTTTTTTTTATTTATGAATAATTTTTTTTAAAATCGTTATAATTATCTTTGGGCAATTCATTATGGTTGAGCCTGGGTTGTTTTTAAAATATATTTTAATATTTATTTTAATTTTCTCATTACTTGTTTAGCCTCCTTTTTTATACCTGAATTAAAAAATATCTTTATAAAATACAATACCCGGCTTCCCTCTAGTGCTCCAATGGAGCGCTTATTTAGTATTGCAAAACAGGTCATAGGGGAGAAGCATGGATGTTTTTTAGATTCTAATTTCGAAAATTTATTACGTTTAAAGGCTAATAAAAGATTACAAATATTTTGATAGATCATTTAATATAAATAAAACCTTTTGATAAAAAATATGATTTTGTTTCTCATACCTTCTAAATCAAAGGAGCGGTTATGGAATGGCGCTCCATTACTTGGAGTGGGAGCTAGCTCCTTTTAAAAATGTATTAGCGGGAGCTATCTCCTTTTGAGAAGGTAGGAGCGGGAGGGGGAGCTAGCTACTTTTAAAAAGGAGCGTTAACAACTCTGACAAATAGTATATTATTAAATTATACAATTAGAAGATTATATTCAAATATTTAATATATTATTGCAATTACCAACAAAAGGCTGCTAAGATATTACACTATGCATAGGGATATTTTTTGATTTTGTTTCTAAAGCTATATCTAAATATTAATATCATTAATGAAATTCTAGAAAAAATAAAAAAAAAATATTGTAAAATTATATGTAAGTATTTAAGTTGCAATATTAAATTTTTTTATACAAAGGATGCAAAGAAAGCTCATATATATAGATTTGCAAATCATAACTTGTTTCAGAATATTTTACAAAGTTATATACAAATTTTTGAAAAAACTGATGGTAAAAAGTTTTGAAAATTTAAAAAAAAATAAATTGCGACAATATTTTATTTTGTGAAAACTCCCTTTATTAATGTTTTGAAACGCTGTCACGAGAATAATATTTTTTTGATAATATTTATTTTTTTACATTTAATTTAATAAACTCTTTTTCCGAGTATTTAATGATTTAAAGCATAAAAGTATTACATATTAAATATCTCTAAAAAATAAAATTTTCTGTGCTAGCCAGGCGGCAAAAAAAGGAAGAAAAAAAATATAATTTAATTGTTTTAAAAAAAAGATTCCGAATCCCCTTAATTTTTAAAAAATTTTTATTTTTATAATAACCACATATACTCCTCAAATTAATTTATGTATATAAAATATATAATTATTTAAAGTGCTAAAAATATTTAGGAGCTTCCCAGAATGTTACAAACTATGGGAAAACATCGTTCGCAAAATGGGTCGCATGAATAAAAGATACGGGTGTTTCAAGAATAACCTTAAATGTTCAACGAAATGCCATATTGCATTGAATAATTGTTCCAATAAATAATTTTTTTTAATTCGGATTTTTTATAAATATATATATATTTTTTTTCTCTTTAGCTTTCACCTTTTCTGGTGGTAAGCTCCTTCAACATCTCTCTCCACTTTATGTTATTCATACAATCTCTTTTATCTATTTTATACTTCTTTATATTGGCTCTAACTTTATGGCCCCATTGAAGTTTTGGCCTTCCTCTTTTACGTTTGCCCATCGCTTCCAAACTTTCAACTTTATTTCCTATGTAGTTTATAGGCCTTCTCATTGTGTGCCCATACCACCTAAGTTTGTTTACCATTAACTTAGTCTTAATGGGCACTACCTTTAAACTATTTAGTATTCTTGTACTGCGCACCTTATCCTTTCTTGTTACCCCAGCAATCATCCTCAGCATTCTCATCTCCATAGTTTGTAGACTTCTCTCGTCTGATTCTTTGGTTGGCCATGTTTCCGAACTATATAGAATAGTTGGTTGTACTATGGAACTGTAAATTTTTCCCTTTAATTTGTGTGGGATTCTTTTGTCAAATAGCACTCCAGATAAAGATCTCCACTTTAACCACCCTTGATTAATCTTACTCTTTATCTCTTTTTCTATTGTGCCGTTTGTTTGTATAGTGGAGCCCAAATATTTGCAGCTTTCAATTGCGGATATCTGCCATTCATTTATATCATTACTCTCTATTTACTTTTAATCCGTGCGTTTCTAGGATATTTATCCACTAACCTTTCTTTCATTTCATCCTTGGATTCGGCAAGTATCACAATATCATCTGCAAATAAAATATTCCACGGGACTGTTTGAGGTGTGGGCTGAGAGCCGACCCTTGATGAACTCCTTCGGTTATATTGTGCAGATATCCTATACAGATAAGTTTTCTTGGGATTCTATCGAATGCCTTTTCTAGATCGAGAAAGACCATGTGTAGCTTTTTGTTCTTTTCCCTGTATTTTTCACTCATTTGCCTAATTGCATGAATAGCATCGGTTGTTGATCTTCCACATAAAGCCAAACTGAGTCTCTCCTATTTCGATTATATCTCTTAATCTTTTTTCTAGTATTTTTTCGTATAGTTTTAGACAGTGTGACATTAGTTTTATGCCCCTGTAATTTTGACAATTGTGTGGATCCCCTTTATTTTTGAAGATAGGAACTAGATAGATTTCCAAGTATTTTATTGTACAGATTTGTGAGATGTATTCCATCATCTCCTAGTGCTTTAAGGCTTTCATATCGTCTGGACCCCTAGCTTTGTTGTTTTTCATATGCTTGAGGCATGTGATTATTTCTTGTTCTGTTATAGGTTGTACAAGGTTTTGACAAGGGGATGTGTGGGAATTAAAGTTGAGAAGCTCCTGAAAATATTCTTTCCATCTATTCATTATTTCTTTTTTCTTTATTATCAATCACCTTTATTTTTGATTACTTTCGGAGCTCCGTTTATACCCCTAGAGTTCTTTTCTCGCTGTTTGGCTAATCTGTATATTTTATTTTGCCCTTCTTTGGTATGTAGATCTTCGTACATGTAATCGTATGCCATAGATTTGGCCCTAGCCACCGCCTTTGTAGCTAATCTCTTGGATTTTTTGTATCTTG